AAGTCCAGTGTCAGGATTATCACTGCATCCTTGTCCTGCTCCTGTACACTTCTCTGAAGCCTCTACTATTGGCCAGTGTTATGTAGACGACACTGGGGCAGCTGAGCCTTTGGTCTCAGCAACATAGTCATGCTTATCTTCTTAAATCTGCTTATTTGCAGCAGGGAAAGTTTGTGAAAAAATTCCTAGTTGTGAGGGTAGTTAAGTGCCCAAAGAGGCCACCTAGGGAGACTGCAAAATCTCCATCATTAGTGGTTTTAAAGAACAGATTACACAAACAGCTGCCAAGGGCAGCTCAGATATATGTGATTCTGCCTTCAAGCAGAGAGTTGGACAAGGAGACACAAGAAGACCTTCTGGGATGTCTGTCTAGGAATCTGCCCCTCTTCTGCACAGCTATAGCCAAAAGCAGCACACTCAGATGTCTTCTTTCAGTGATACCTTCTGCCATCAGTGGATCCAGTGGCTGTATAGAAGTGTTGTCCATCGCTTTCCCTCTCCAGCATAATACAGATACCAAAGGCAGAGAGATGTATGTGGGATATGACAGTGTCCCACTACTCGCTAGAAACCACACATAGCAGGTAGAAGATAAAGAAGTTTGGGAGATGCTGAGCTGGGGACTGAGCCACCACTTTCCAGTCTCATTGCTAAGGATGGTTTAAAGCCAGATCAGCCCTCACCCATGGCCCAAGGCCAAGTACAGTCCAACTGGCCTGGAGAGTGTAGGCCAGTGGCAGGAGCCATTCCCCGAAGACTTGCAAGAACAGTTGCTTGTGCAGCTTCCCTCACTTCATTTGCTTCCCCGTACGTGGCTAACAGCTTGCAAACTGGCAGAAACCCAGGAAGCAGAGGGGAAGACAGGATTCCTGCTAGACACACACATTCACCCTCACACGTGCTCACTTTTACAAACCATAATGTTGCGATTCCTTAATTCTCATCTCTCCAAACCCAGCTCAGCTACAAACGAGCTTTTTGTCCTATTAGAAGAACTCCTAGTCCTTCAAAATCACAGGTTATTTGGCAGTATGAAAAAGATCATGTCTGTAGGCTCTGTGCATGCTCTTGTGCCATTGGTCTCTGGCTTTCAGGGAGCAACTGTTGTGCAGTCACAAAAACTCAAAGAAAGGAAAGAAACCAAATATTTACAGGAAGAAAAGTGATCCTACCCCACATGGTACAAATTTAGGGATGCATTGTAGCTACATTATGTGCACATAGCTACTGAAACAGTTTCCAACAGAATGTTTACACAGTTGTCTGGAAGCATATTGTTTGCCTACTTTCCAAAGCCAATTTATATGCAACACACATAGCAGCATGCATGAAAATTCAGACAAAAACACAGATGCATGCAACAATCCCTGGCCAGCTCTTGCTGCTTTTTATTGTTTGTTGCTCAGAAGTACCTAGGAGAGAGGAGGAAGGCAGCAGCCCGTTGTGGTAGGTGCTGTACTACCCCAAACTAAAAGACAGGTGTTTCCCTTGAGGAACATACAGTCGCCATTTAAGACAAGATATAACAAGTGAATGTAACAGAGAGTGAGGGAGTGACATACGGGAATGAATAATAAGAGAGTTTATATGTGCCAGCTTTATGCTCTCATGTGCCAGCTAATTGAATACATGATGCAAATAAATACCCATCTCCTACTGAAGGCAACAAGTTAGCTGTAGTCAGATGGCAATTTATCAGGAGCTTCACAGAGAAATTAATGAGAAATTTGGAGGAGCCCAGGGAAGGTTATAGATCTGTTTGGAGAGGGCATCCTAGAGAAAAGTGTCAGTGTGGGACAAAGGGAAGGGTGTGTGACAGGGGAACAGGAGAATGAAGGAGTTTGGCATTGCTTAGGCAGCAAAGCAGGGAGGCTCAGTGAAGAAGTGAAAAGATGTAGTACTCCCTCTTGAAGTGATTCTTTGCAGAAGATCCCTCTCTCCCCACGTGCAATTGTTGCATGGATGAGAGCCAAGTCTCCCACCTCAGGTGCCTCGAGTTAGGCAGTGTGAAAACCACTCATCAACGAAATTGCATCAAAGTCCCTGCACTGCAGTTCCCTGTGTCACCACACAGACAGATGTCCTCTCCTCCAGGCTCTGTGGCAGATACTATTTATGTTCAATATTGTTGATATACCCCAAAACCTCCAGGGGGGGATGCCAAATCAATAGGCCAAGAGCTGAAGCATAGTCATTTTGTGCCTTTATTTTTCTGTTTTTAAAAGGACAATGGTCTTTCTACAACTCTACAAAGCCACTTAAACATTAACAGAAGTACTGCCATCTGCCAGGGCTGCAGGGGCAATTATGTGCCTCCCTAGCCACTGTGCCCACCCCCCTGGGGCTCCCCCCTCCCCTGCCCAGGACCCCATGTCAGCCCCCCAGGGCCAGCAGCCACTGTGCCAGTGATGTCGCAGCAGGGCCAGTCTCCAGCTCCCCACAGCCCTGCCCTGCCTGGCCATGGGCCCACCCATCAGCCCACGTCCCAGCACAGCCTCAGCCTGTCCCCATCCCCAGGGAGGTGCCCTATGTCCAGGGCTGGGCCTGCCCTGGTGTCCCCCAGCTGCCCTGCTCCTGGCTGGGGCACTGGCACATGCCCTGGCTGCCAGGCCCTGCCCTGATAGACCACAGGGAGCCCTTGCTGCACCCTGGAACCAGCTCCCTGAGAAATATTAGTACAAAACAAAAATCAAAGGACAAGCTCAGCCTTGCTAGGACTGAAACATCTTGACCCAGCACTGCCACACAAGATATTTTAAGGTTTTATAAGTGGAAGAGTGTTTCTTCTTTCCTTCTGGTACTGAGCCACCAAGGTCTAACCTGACTGTGTTTTATCTTCTCTGCAGTGATATTGTGTGGTCTCCTGAAAAGATGGCCACTGCTGCTATCTTCCCAGCTCTAGCCCACCTCAGTGAGGTCCAGCTGGAGCCCAGGGCCAGGTCATACAGAGTCTGGACCACACCACTACCAAGCGTGGTGGGCAACCACAGCATCCCCACCTCCACCGCCTCTATGGGAGCCTCCCGTTCAGGGCGACTGCTGTTTCCAAAGGGGAGGAGGCTAGATCAAGAAGACCTGTCCCCAAGAAGGACTTGAGAATCACAGTCAGTTGACAAGAATTGGTCACATACATGCTAAAATCAACTCCCTCCCTAAACAGTGTTATGCAGCGGAGCTCAAGGCCCACGATGGCAGCATTTCTTGATAATAAGTGGAGAGCTGCTCACCTGTGACACACATTCAGATGTAGAGGGAAAAAAATATTTTTTGCAGTATTTGCTTCTTCCTTTCTCAGCCAAATCCTTACTTGTGCTGTTACAGATTATTCACACAGCAGCCCTGCCTCTGCTGACTGATCAGATTACTGCACCAATGCCTCCATGGCTTTCAAATTCATTTCACAGGTTTTCAAGAAACAGATGCTGATACCTGATAAGTGGAGCACCTGGCTTCAAAACATGTCATCAGTTCATCAGCTTCTGATGTCTCGAGTAACATCACAGCTTGGCAGAGAAATGTTACCCTAACCAGCTAACAGGTTTCTGTGTGGGGAAATAAAGCTCCTCTTACGTACTTGTTGACATACTGATTCACACCTTTGCATTGTTCCCAGAGTTGTTTAAGCATACAGAGCCCAAGTGAGTGCCATGATCTGTTTCAAACATTTGGTGCCCTGGCTCCTCATTGCATCCCAGAAGTTACCTGCTTGTCACAAGCAGCCTTACGTGTCTCTATAGAACAGCTAAGACTCTTTGAAGTATTTATTTTTATTAAAACAAAAGCAATCGTTTGCATTTGTATTGATTTTGATCATCAGAGGACACAGACATGGTTGCATAGGTAACAAGAAAAACTAACCACATGAACTGCTTACTTCATCACTGTAAAGCTCTGAATTTCAGTATTTTATCTTCTTTCTGACATGATGAAGGTAAGACATTGTTACAGTGCACACACTCCGAAACTATTACATAATACCCATTAAAAAACCCACATCATATATCCAACTAGTTTGATCAGACTTCTGCCTTCCACAAGACCTCTTACCTTGCTGTAAGACAGAATTACCCAGGGAACAAATTGGACTCTACACTAACAAGGCTCTTAGGAATCTAATTACAGAATGGCAAAAATGTTGAATAGAGGCACATTAAGTAACACAGCTGTCATTCTACAGCAATGCATGATATACACCTAAGAGCCAGTCGTGGCCAATAAAGTCAATGAGAGGATTTGCATCAGCTTAACAAGAGCATAAAGGAAAGAAAAACAGTGTCTATTGCACTGTACTGCCAGGAAAATGGAGCCATGGTGATGACGAAACATGGCTAGATTGAAGTAAGACCATTTGTAAGGCCCGGTTTAGGCACATGGAATTGCAAGAGGCAGCAGAATGGAACAGAGGGAAAGCTGGTGAAAAGTTTTGCTGCCAGTTTTGCCCCCCACAGACACTCCAAGAAGCCAGCCTTATGCTCTGGCAGCTTGGGAGAGGGCTGAGCTGCAAGGACCCAGCTACAGGTGGGGTCCCAGGGGTGGCTGTCCCACTGCAACAGTGATGACAAGGGCAGTGACCTCTGTCCCTGCCCCAGTGCCTTCTCTTCCCTCCCTGTGTTAGGACTTCAAACAGCAAAGTGCATTACTACCCTCTCCCCTGAAGCCTTGAGCCAGATATTACTGCTTCCACCTAACAAATGGGTTGCTGCCTTCTGACCAAGTCTACTTCCTATACTATTATAATCCTTCAATTAATTTCTCTGAGGCCTCAATTCACTCTGATGAGGATCAGTGGAAATTCATTCTCAGTTTTTGGGTGCCTTGCCTGTGTTACACTGACAAATATACATCAGTGGGTAATTAGCTTCTTGGTAGATAGGCTGTGCCCATAAATTTCTGTGAACAAAATGCACTAAATCTATGCAGCAAATCTACCCGTAGAGGCAGGACAATTGTAAAGCACCAGTAAATACCAATCAAAACTAAAGAACCCAGTACTGCCAAACACTTCTACCAGCAATACTACTAACCAGAGGGGTCAATTATTTTAAAGACTATAAGTAATGTATATAACAATCACAGCTATAGTACACTAGACTAGATGAACTTTAAACTGGCAATAACATTATTTAAAGGTGAATCAGATCTCTCATTTTAGTTGCTACCAGTTTTATTGGATGGTTATGTCACTGAGACATTAAGGCTGAAAGGTCACATCATATGTTAGAAGGTAACCATCATTGTAAACATACAGTCTCTGATCTGTGGGGCTATAATCAATACTCTGGATTGTATCTAACTTTTTATCCATAATGACACTAATACGACCTTCTTGGCCAGTACTTGTGTCATACATGTAGAAGATTTCCTCTTGCCTAGTGCTCATTGGCCTTGTGGCATACAGAACACCACATACCATGAAAGCATTGGAAACAGATGGCTTGTACTGTCTTGTCTGCCAAGTATTTAGCACATCAAGTGTGGTGTCATTGAGTCTGCTAATCACAATGTTGCCCATGCTATTTTCTGTTGAATATATTACCCATAACCCACTTTCATCCACAGCAAAATCTATGGCTTGCCATGATACACCTGCATAAGAGAAACGGTTACCAGTAACAGCATCTGCAAGTTCCTTCCTCAAAACCGCTTTGTTTGTTTTTAAATCATGCTTCACCATATTTCTTGAACTATAAGCATGATAGTACAAATAATTATTATAAAGGGCAGCACCACTTCCTTCCCCATATGTTATTCTACTTTCATACATGGGTTTAAACAGCAGCAAATCATCAAAGGATCTATAAATTCTGTAGTATTCCAAGTATCTCCCATCTGTGTTCAATGGTGCAACCCAATAGACTTCCTGCTCTGGGTTAGAAGGAGAGTAATCTCTACCCCAAGAACCATATTTGTAGGAAAATCCTTTCCAGTTCAGCTTTACAATGTAAGGCTGGCTAACATTCTGCAGTCCACGGTGAATGCAGCTACCTGCAATTAAAAAGAAAAAAAACAGGTTTTCCAATTGTCATCATTAGGAGAGAGGTTTTGAATCCTGTAGCCTCTAGAGTGTGATTACTAGGGATTAGCCTTGTGGCAAAGCACAGACATAAATGCATAGCTTCATGTGTAAAAGGCTCATTTTGGGCCAAGGTCAGCAACTGGATGGCACTGTGTTCCAAGTTGACTCAGAAAGTTAATAAAAAAAAAAAAGTAGAGTGCATGTTATTACAAGTATTGGGGGTAGGGGGTGATGAGAAAAGAAAAGGAAATCCATCCTCAGTCAGTATTAATTAGCAGAAAATAAGTGCTTACTGTGCTGTTCCAGACAAGGGAGACATTTCTGTTTCTACCTATTTGATGCACGCCAGCCTGATGCACTAGGAAATCCCTTGGAAAATACAATTTCAGAAGCATTTTAGGTTATTTTCTACATCAGTGGAACTGAGAGCATGGAAGATGGGGAAAAAAGAAAGAGGAACATCTGATTTCTGTGTATTTCACTGTGGAGGGGAAGGAAGAAGCAGCAGCAGCAGCAGCAGTAATTCCAGAGTCACATTTCAGATTAGCATTCTGCTGTCAGAAACATAGCTTTACAACAGTGCGTCACAGCCGCATGGTGCCTTCCACCTCAGGCCCTCAAAGAAATCTGCAGACAATAACAATCACAGCCTACAAAACGTAGACAGATATTACTCCGAGTTTTCATGTGAGGCAACTCCGAAGAGAATATGACTTCAAACTGAAACAGAACAGCTCTGTTTTCCACATATCAACTATGAAGCCATTTTCAGGATCATGGAAAAATGGATTTAGATATAAGAAATACTTTCCTTTTACTCATAGTGAATGGCAGTGACATTCCTGTTTCCTGATAAATTCTCAATATTGTAAGTCACAAGTGGCAAAAATCCTCCACTCAGAAATGTCCATGGTCCTCTGATGAGTCCAAAGCTGCTGCTGGCAAAAACCAGCATGCTTTTTCCTGAGTGTTAGCATTAGCTTTTTGTGTTACTGACACAAAAGTGCCCCAGATTGTAAAGACATGTTCACCTGAGGTAACAGAGAAAGGGATTTCAAGTGACCAGCAGCAGCTCACAAGTTTAGGGGTACTCCAGTGTTTTCCAATTCAGTGAGGTGCTCTAGCCACTAGACAGCCCTCCTTATTAAAGACAGAGTTTAATATGAATAGACTCAAATCTCACATGTCAATTAATGGATAAAGTGATGGCCACAACTGTTTGATGTTAATGATACCTCCCTCAGCACAGGAACTCTGTGCACCAACCGCTATGGTGTCAATGATTAACGTCAAACTTATTTTTGAGGTTTTAATACTTTGCATGGGTACCATGTCACAATTGCTTACAGCCCATATGAAAAGAATAGTTCATAAACTCAGTCATATGAAGGGATGTCTAGGATATAAATAACCTATATCTTAGCACAAAGAAGAAATAGAAATAACAGAGAGAGAATTTACTTTTTGCTCTCAAAGCTGGCCATCCCTAAGCAAGGCCAGACAATACTTACAGAGCTGAACTGAAAAATCCTAAAGCCACTGACAGAAAGAGTATAGGAGGTATCTTGTTCTCAAAGACATCCTAGTCTATCCCACAGATAGAGGGAAATGTGGAGATAGACCAGTCTGAAGTAGTCTACTTGGAAAAAGGATATATGGTGAAAAATTGACTATCACAAATGCAAAGAAATGTTTTTTTTCTGATCTGTTTTGCCCAGGGGGAACATGCTCTGCCTCTGAGACAAGGAAACCTGTGACCTGAATGTTAGAAAAGTCCAAGCAAGAGGATACCATTTGCACCAGTGTGTAAAGTCTATTTTGGCAGTGAAGCTTTCCATGTCTCCTCCTTTCTAAAATGTAGTATTGCTCTCCTACCATTACATAACACCCTCATCCCTCACAGTTTTGTGCTGTCTTGCACTAGAGACTTGGGGGACATGTGATTCACCTGCAGCCTCGTCTAAGCATTTATGATGAAGGTGAGGAGAAACTTTATGTTAAAAACAAATCACTATATTGAGTTAAATCTCTGTGTCCCCTGGGCCACACTGGCAACTTTGTTGAGCAGCTCTGCATCCCTGACTGCCCAGGTTGTGGCAGAGATGGTGAAACGAGTTGTGAACAACCCTGTCTCCTCCCCTAGTCCCTTTTGCTTCCTGGGATTCTTGCCACTGAAACGTGGGATGACCCTGGCTGAACGCTGCTTCCCTCCGTGCCACCAAGAATCTATGCGAATCAGCGTTCTTAGCTCGGAGCAGATGAGCATTTAAGCATGCACTTAAGTGCTTTACAAAGAACGAGGCCCTGGAGCAGAAACCTCATTTCCAAATATAGCACACAAGGAAAGCACTGCTATATGGCTAGCCAGGCTGTATCTCAGGAAATGGCACGTAGCATGGCTAGTAACATGGCCTCAGCACTTGGCACAGATACCAGCGTTTGGAGGTGTTTATACCTCAGCTCATGCAAAGGAAGAAAGCTAAGGCAGACAGTGCAAACCGGCTTGCCGCTTGCCAACTCCATAAATCAATTTGAGCTGTTTTTTTCTTATATCTCTATTATGTATTGTTACCTCCAGTATGAGGGCTTCTTTCAAGCTGGTGACATACTGAATATATTACTGTGCTTAAATCACAATAAACTTATCTCAGAATTAAATGGTTATTAAATGCTCTAAAACTCTTGATTTGTTTAGAAAAATACAGTACCAAAGCTTGCAGGTAGTGAAGCACTGCTAAGCTCATCTATATGCGACCTCAAATAATTTTTCATGTCATTAAGCAGAACACAATTCCAGATTTATTTTAATAATTCATACATTGTTTCATAAATAAAAAACAAACGTGTGTTCAGCAGAGAGACCTTTTTTTACAAAAGAAATAATAAATTATTATTTCTTCCCTTAAAGAGATCTCTCTGCTGAACACTTGTTTGGTTTTTATTTATGAAACAATGAATTATTAAAATAAAGTTAGAAGCGTGTTCCGTTTTAATGACACCAAAAATTGTCTGAGGTTTCTATGGAGTATGTGCTTGATTTTGATTTCCTTGAAAACTCTCCCAGAATTATTTTTTTTTTTTTTAACCAAAAAACTCTGGTAGTCAGGGGGTGATCTGTCTTCTGCACAGGTTCAGAAGAATTCATTGTTGTTTATTTAATCTAAACTTGCCTCCCTGTCTGCATCTTGTGGGAAAAAAAATGCACAGAGGAAACAAAGTGTCATGTAATTTTGTAAATATTAGAAGGTACTTGAAATAAATCTATATGCATTATTCAAACTTTCAAGTTTTTAACTTCTTTCTCCATTGTTTTGTGCCACTGATAAGTGACGTCCTGGTATTTTTGCCTTCCCTTGTTTCACGCTTATGTAGCAAATAGGCAAGAGGAGGACTAACATAGGTACATACACACATAGGTACATACACACATAGGTACATATACTCCTTCCCCTACATAACGAAACAATATCTCAGCTCAGTTGTTTACTAATCCTGGTTCATCAGAAAAGGAGCTGGCACTTAGTTGTCAGGACTGGAGGGAGCCTGACTTGCTTGGCTAACGGGTTGCAGAACTAAGCATGAGTCGCATCCCGTGGGGTGTCGCTTCACCCACTTCAGTCTGAAGCACTTGCAGAGCACATCAGCCTCTCAGTCCAACAATACAGGTGCCAAAAAAACTCCAGCAGCCATCCACCACAAAGCAGCTGCATCTAACCACAGAAGAGAAGGGATCACATTTCACCCACACAGCCAAAGATCATGAGACAAGGTGGGACCCACATTTAAAGGAACTCTCATGAGGGGCACAGACACCAGGAGCAGGCTGGTGCTACACTCTCACACATGCTCCCAACCACCAGATGTGCACCCTCCTCTCCCATCAGATGAACCACTGCATCCAGATGTGTGAGCTGATACCAGCCTTACGATGGCTTGAGACACAGGAGACAAGGCTGCTCAGGGAAAGGCTCATCTTGGCTCCTACTGTCTCACTGACAGGAAGACCCACACAGACACCTCAGTCTTCACCAGCATCACAGGGTGCAGACACAGGTACACAGCTCCAACAAAGAGTAGTTATGTTGTCAGCATCTAACAGAGGGTGAGGTGGAGGTCTGGAGTTCATCTGACCTACCTTCAGGCAACTAAAAATTCACGTGCCTCAGCTAAGCTCCCTCCATTGCCAGTGGAGAAATGCACATGTCTCCAGTGGCAGTTCAGGGCCAGCTCTTCTCAGGTGCCTGTAGGCATGTCTCTCTCTTTGTCTATGGATGTATTCATTTCAAAACACAAGCCAAAATACAGAAAAAACACATCCCAGGTACATAGGAGATATAAGGTAAAAGTGAAATCACTATGAGTCCCATAGAATTTCCTGACTTTCAGCATTAGGTTACACCAGGTCTTCCTCCTGCTGAGACCTATTCACCAGTAACTTGAAATCCTTAATTTCTAAATGTATAAAATCCAGAAAAAAACAGCTTTGGTTTTCTTTTCCTTTCTTTCTTTTTTTGCCTTTGAGACTTTCATGCGACTCACTTCCTACTGCCTCTCTCAGATCATTTCAGTGAGATGTGACAAAGAATCTGCTGCAGAGTCCTCAGAGAACCATCCTAGGGTCTTTTCTCTCTATACCTGCCCTGATGCAGCCAGATGAGAAAAGTGCAAGAGAAAAACAAATGGATAAATATTTCTTCCCACTAGAGTGGCTGACGGAAGAGATGTCAGGAACTGCTGCAGACTGGAAAGCCAGTGATGCTGATGAGGATGGTTAACTATATATTTACTGAGCCCCATCTCAGACACTTGGACACCCATGTCTCCAGTTGGAAGGTAACGAATATGGAGACCAGCCATTTCTTTCTGCTATGTTGTTTGAGAACAGGCCTGCTGAGAAATACAGCAGCAAGAGCCTTGGGGGCCAGTCAGAGGGGCTGAGTACTACAGCACTGAGAAGCAAGAAGCTTTAATTAAACTTGCCTTTAGACTCATGGTCTTAGACAGCTTGGGGATTAGCCAAACTCTCCCTAGTTCATGTTGGCTACCCAAAATATGCAGGAGAGAGGATGAAGGGGGAAAAGAAAATGCAGTCTGAAAACAGGACAAAGAGTCAGTTTAATATAAACATTATAAATATAATATGAACTAAAAGCAGGCCAAGGCCAAATGGTTTGGCAGGAATTCAAGGCATTCAAGCTTGCTGAGAAAACATATGGAAATGGTGTTCAAATGCATAAATGAGTGCTAGAGAGCTTCAGAAGCCTAGGTGTAAGCATCCATGCAAAGCCTCCAAAATGACCAGCTAGAAAATGCAGCTCTCTCACATGCTGCATCTCCTCAAGCAGTAACATCTTCCTCCTACTACTTGTTTTCAGATATAATCTGCAGGACATGTAATTGCTCTACAAAGTTCTCTGCCCAGAGAATATTTGCTCCCCACCAGGCACACAAAGTCAGGATATGCCACTACACCAGTCCTGTGTGGATTAGCAGGGATCTGAGCCTACATAACACCTGTGTTATCTGCATAGCTGGCATCTCCCAACAGGCAGGAAACTGGCCAGCCCTCCGCAGTTGCTCTGCCATTCCTCTGTGCCAGCCTCAGGGACCACCCTCACCCTAAAGGTGGCCATGACACTACACCCACACACCATCCTCCAGCCCCCTGCATTCCTATTGCTGTGGGCAGGAGATAAACTCACAGGTAACACCAGAGGATGTCCTCAGATGATGTCTGGGGTGGTAATTCTCTGGAGAACAATAGAGCTATTGTTGTTCATACCACCTGAGGTTTTGGCCTTCTTCTAGGTTATTTTCTGCTCTGTGATTCCCACACAATGCAGTGACATGCAAAGGTGCCTTGAGCTAGCTGGCATAAGGCCACACTAAAGCAATACCATTTTAGTCCCAGATAAACTATATCCACTACCTCATTGTGTCCTAAGAAAGCAATATTAAATAATTTATTATGGTCACAGTACTATGCAGTTTTGTTTACCTGTCCCAGAGCTATCACCCTGCTCTAGGCATGACTTGCCTGTCCCTGCATGGAGCTGCACTGTGAAGCATAGACCTCCCTTTCCCACTCTGTGAAAGCTCCTACACCCCACAGACGCTCACACCAACCACCCAGGCATAAAAGCAGCCCCTTCCTCCATCACTCATGGAAGGACACAGTATTCTTGTTCCAGAGCTCAGTACTTTCTTACTGAAACAAAGGCTTGCTGTAGGCTTGAAGAGAAAGAGGCTGTTTCTTTCCACACACCATCACCCTCAATAAATCAATGAGATGCCCTTCAAATACTTCTAAAATATTGCTGCTTTTTTTTTTTTTTTCATTGAAACATTTTAAGCCCTTCCTTAAGGAGCAGAGAAGCACCTTGAGATTTTGTAATGCAGGTTTTCGTTTCAGCTTTCCCTCCTGCTTGATCCCCAGACAAGGTGTTACTCGCACATCCTGTCAGAGAAGCACAGCAGCTGCCCACACCACCATGAAGCCCTAAGGGATCACAACAGAAAAGGCTGCTGACCCTAAGGGAAGCTTGTATTTCTGCCTCTCACCTTTCCAAGGAGACATTTGAACTAGATGACACCAAGGTGATAAGAGAAAAATGCTGGTAGGTGCAAATCTGTGCTTCTTGCATGCAGGACACCACTTCTTTTTTATTGGCTCCTCTAACCAATTGCTAACCAGCTTATGTGAAAAAGTAGGATCCTTCCCCTGGGTGTTGCATACAACAGAGCACTTTCTCTCTTACAGTACTCTGTCAAAAGGAACCCCCTGTGTATGAAACACTCAGGGGATCAACACAGTTTAATAAATCCTCCTGTCTGTTCGCAAGTGGAATGCTTGACCTGACTTACCTAAAATAGTGTTTCCTAAACAGCTTGCTCCAGTGCAGCATATCTGACTCTCAAAATTCCTCAGACTATGATTCACTCACAATGTGATTTTTCAAACTGAACACAATATCAAGACAACAATTATTCCATTTGTAAACTATTTACTACATGCCCCGTGGCTGTTGATAGTTTTATCTGAACTGCACTCTAGGAACCACTGATCTAAGCCCCAAAAGGCAACCCTTCCTAGTTGAGAAAATTATAAAAATCCTAGTTCCACTGAAATCAGTAATAAAGCTCCCACTTATTTTGCTGAGATGGGAATTTTCCCCCAAGGTTCTTGACCTTCTGATTTAGAAGAACCTTTTGCCTGTGAAGCAAAAGTAATCTTCATGCAAAGCTACCTTCTGGAGCTTGCATACCAACAGCTTTAGTATATCAACTGTTGCTCATGCATTTCCCAAGCAATGTTAGAGCAAAATTGCCATGACACAGGCCACTTTCCCAGGAACTATTAAAAATCAAGCTGGTCAGAAAAAAAGCATAGTTTCCCACAATAAAAGGTAATTGTTTTGAAAAAGAGAAGAGGGGCAGAGACTCACTTTTCATACGGCAGGTGAGAGGAAGATTACAACTTTCTCCAGTTGAAAACAGCTACTGTGTCTAGAAGAGATTGTTTCCTGCCCTCATTTTCCTTTTGAACCCATTGATGAAACATTAGGAGCTGACTGCTCAATTTTTTAAGAGCTAAGTAGTGTTATTACAATTGTATTGAATATTAACAAAGGGAAATCTCTTAATCTACTATTCTACCCACGTATTAGGCTGTTTCTTATCTGATATACAACAGAAATGCTTACCTGGTGGGAAAAAAGGGGGTACTGTAGTTTTGTTTCTGTCCTCTTCACATTCTTTCAATCTATTCTGCAGAGACACAATTTGTCGGCGAATTGCAAGGATATTGGTTTTGTCCAGTGATTCTAGTTCATTTACCAGTATAGTCAGATTTGTGATCTAAAGAAAAAAAAAATAGAGCAAGTTTAAATTTCTGTCGACTTTATTTTACAGATATTTGCAGGCAGTGTTTATTGTACCACAGAAGGTGATACAGAACAGGCTTTAAGAAATATCCCTGAGAATAGGCCTTATCCTGCTAGCTTGAATTTAACACTTCCAGCAGAGGTATGTGACCACAAGGAAATGCTTTAACGCTCAGTTGTATAGCGTAATACAAAAATATAGTATTATTTTATATGTAGTATAAAACTATCCAGTAAATCTTGGGCAAGTACTAGCTATTATACATAAAAGGTACTTATTCCAGCCTTACAAAAGTATCTGGAAATTTTATTTGCAAAAATAAATAATGTTCTCAATCACCTACTTGATGATGTAGGGGACAATGGAGAAAATGATCTTTCACTTTCCATCTGAAGTAATTATTCTCTCTGAGTGATTAACTACAATTTTGAAAATGTGATTTATAGTCTGCTGGGAAGGTGCTAGTCTTTCCCACTTCTTGATTTCATATTGATTGGGCCACTGCCCTAGCAAACAGAAGCTAATTTTTTAATTATCTAAGTTAAAGCACAGAGGCTTTCAAGTATGGGGGTCTATAAATTAATATTTATTGTAATAATTTAATCAAATTTAATGTGCTTAACACTATGCAAGACTGCTAACTTTCACGCAGATGTTTGGCAAAAATAATAAAGTGGTCTCCATTTGTTTTGGGGTTTCTTTGCTTTTTTGTACTCTATACCAAGGAAAAAGATGTTAATACATTTAAGGTCAAGCTTTCCTTTAATGTATGCTGATGAAATGCAAAAATAATTCCACTGGCTGCAGTAGAGACAGGCTACATTTCCTCAGCCTAAACACTAAAGAGATAATAGTCTATCTGTATATTTGAACTCTCTGTGGCTAATTAAGACTCTGGCAATACCTCTGAATATATTTGTTCAACGATGACATTGCTTCCAACAAGGCTGGATTTCAGCTGTGTGACCAGTCTCTCTAGGTCACTGATTTCCACTTTCAGTAACTGGAAGTCCAGTTCTGTGTAAGATACACTGCTCTTCTCCATATGCTCCACTCTGACGGTTAGATTAAGGATTTGCTGCTGATACAGTTCAATCATTTTTGAGTACTCTCTAACCTTAAAGAAAGGAAAAAAAGTACATATTCAAGTCCAGGTTAGCAAATAAGAGAAGACCATGTGACATCTTTATTACATTTCTGAGTACCCCATGCATAAGTTCCAAATACGTGATATATATATTCACATACATAAAAAATGCAAAATTCAACACTCATTTATTGTTGGCAGTTCCACAAACTCCCCTCAGGAATGCCTGGGGATAACTGACGGCAGAATTTTACTCACAGTCTTCCATTTTTTTTTAATTTTTTGCCAGTATTGTCTCTGTGAGCTAATTTTATCCTCGGTATGCCAAGAACTCACATTGGCGAAAATTTTACTGGAAATGTGCAGTGTATTATCTCACAAAAGCAACCCAAGGAGGCTGAAAAATGCAATAAAGGATTCCCAAGTTTTTCAACTTCATTTCCTATTAACTCTGAATCCAAATAGTATTTTACCCTGTGCATACATTTGAATTGTGTCAAAAGTAGGCAGAACTGGTTTGGGGTTTGTCTTTGGGCAGGGGGAAAATGCTTGAACACAGTGTTAAAAATCAAATCTGGTTTAAATGAAAGTGTAAAATATACTGCAGGCTTCAGCTAAAGTAATTTACATAGCAGCCTTTTCAGCCTTTGAACCATTAAACAGTTGTCCAGATAAATATATTTTCACACATGTATCTGCTGAGGTAAAGGTCACAGCGCAAGCATTGTGATGCAGACTGTTAAGAATATTATATAGATTTGGGACATTTCTTGGAAAATGTTAGTTCTTTCAAATTTAACACTTTGGGAAAGATAGATAATTCCTCTCCCATATGCTTCATAAAAGCCATATCTCTTTTCCCTTAAATCAATATAATTATATCACAAAAGATAAGTAGGAATAAATATAATTAGTTTGTTGTACCAGTAACTCCATATTTATACTCTCAGATGGTATTTGTATTACAAGCCCCTCTATCTCCAGTACTATGATTTGCATAACTATTACTTCTTTGACTGATTTTTAGCCCACATACTCTCAACCATTCTTGCATTATCTTAATGTGAAATGAAACTCGGTATTCTTCCCTATTGTCTCTGTGTGAAGACCAGAGAACCCCTGTTTTCCTGTTCTGGCAGCAGCCCCTGAGACAGGGACCCCAAAAATCACACTTATCAAACAATTCCTTTCAATTTTGATTGAATCCCTTCTGTACCAAAGAGGAGGTATGGGAGCTCATGGCATGGAAATTCATAAAGAGAGAAAGGATCCTTTAAGACCATAACATACTCAGTGATATGACTTAAGGAGAACCATAAGAAAGACCCTCTTTTCAGAAGAATAATGTCCACAGTGGCACAACTACACTATAAATCTGAAAGAACCCACTACCAGACCTCTGCATACACCTGCATAATGTACACCACAACCAGGCTGCTCAATCCCATGCATTTAAATCAGAGTTTGAAACAGATCTTCTGTTATAAATGTGTGCAGCCGGAATTTGAACTGCTCTGATATAAACTGGCAAGTTTCCATAAGCTACGGCAGAAGCACCCTGACTCATAACACTGGATGCCTAGACCTCCCAGGTCAAGCTAGGGTAACATCAAGCTAAGCTATTCATTACGATTAAGAATCAAAAAATAATAGCATATAAAGACTTAGACCTAGTTCCTAGTAACTGGCTGGCAACAGAGACAGCTGGTATCCCTTGTCCTAGCTGTTACCATCATCTGTTCAGGAGGGAATAGTAGGAAGAACTGGACAAAGTTCTTGGAAAAGGCAGATGTAGTTGGACCTCACACTTTCACTGATCACCAAAATCAGTTTGGAGTTGGAAAGATGTCCTCAGAAAAATTCTTCTGAAAAAAATCTTCAAAGTTTAATGTTTAAACTGTATGTCTAGAGTTTGCACAAAAAAAAAAAAAGGAAAAAAAAAAAAAAAGATTACAGCCTGAGACATGTAAAGCAAACCCATGTCTGAACAAAATTGTGTTGCTGTGTGAAGCTATATATATTATAGAGGTATTTGGAAATCTATCTAGGTATTAATAACCTTTCTTATAGTAATACTGATAGTAATAATAATAATAATAGAAGTAGAAACAGACCAAATCTTCTACAACCCACTGAAATAAACAGACTGCTGGAATTACTAATGGCTATTCATTAGTGAGAAACCTGTGAATGTGGAGTTTTCTCCAAAGGTCCTGAGAGACTGGACAAAATGCTAAGGGCTGGAACAAGGCATACACAGTTATTTCAGCCCTGATTGAAGAGTGCTGCAGGACATAGGCCTGAAGTTCTTCTCCCACATCAGAGGGTTTTCACCCAGTCAACAATCTAGGTCATTTAAGGACATGTCAACACCATCCAGTGGAGTACAACTGAGAAATATCTATACAAGCTGAGCCTGAACTAGTCCCAGCACTCTGCAGTGCTCTCTGTACAGCCACTGGACAAATATAATTTTTTTTCAGCAGTGCTGCTCTAACAAGTCTATACTGCTTCTGCAGACAAATCCAGCACATATGTCAAGCATTACAATGCCCTGTGTGGACATTCTCGCCTGCTCAGATCTAGCTTAGGCATTTCTGTAGTTTAGAAATATCAGCTGAAAAAGAAACATGATGTTGCTCTGTTGCTTGGCAGATAGATTTAAGCATCCTGTAATCCCTGCTCTTCTACTCCATCTACCTGCTAGGGACTGGCTTTTGTCTCTCGACAGGCTGGCACAGAAATTCTGTGCACATCCCATATTTAGGGATACAAACCAATAACTAATATTGATTGCTGTCACATTTGTTGGAAAACCTAAAGTACGGTATGATAAGTGCATAGCACCTGTATTAGCCCTTTATAGGAAGAGAATGGAACCATGTGAGGCACATGTAGGAGACAAATTCCTCAGTTTCAGTTTTTCCTCCTTTCCAAGCATTGTCACCCTCATGGAATGAAAAGGGCAGGAAAAATCTGCAATGCTCATTTACTCTGTCGTTTACTTGCAATTGGTATTTATCAAAACCGGTTTTGCAGCATGCAAACAGACACTTCTCCAGCACGTATTTGGAGAGTACAGAAGGGGGGAACAAACGTCTAAGATGAAGATGTAAAAGAAAAAAAGTGGGAGGACTGAGGGAAGATAAGAAAGAAGTGACAAAACCACAGCTCTATAAAGTCATTCAGCCCAGGACACTGTCTTCAGGCAGGACTGACCTCTGCAGATCCATAAGGAGCAAGGTTGGCAAGCAGCCTGCAAGCTAACACCGAGAAGAATTCCACTGTAGGTTAACCTATTTTGAAAACAGCTGTTCCTGGCAGAGGGCAGGCATGCTTTTTTTCTCCTGCTTTTGTTACATGAGGATGCTGTGGCCGATGTGAGCCAAGTTCTGAAAGGCACTTTCTCTCCTTGGGACCACGTGCTGATCCATTTCTGTTACGGAGGTGTCCTCTCCCCTTTCCTATTGAGAGGAGCAGCCAATTCCCGCTCTGCTTTGAAAGGTTAATTTTCTTCTGTAATCATAATTATGCTGGCAAAGGTTGATGTGACAGAGGAAAAATTAGTCTGGTATTTTCAGCCTACGGTTTGTACTCATTTGGCACATGAGAGCATCTCTTTATCTGTGAGCTTCCTTGCCTGCTGATTCTATAAAAGGACCCCCTTGCTTTTTGAATTAGCCTACAATCAGGCAAAAGGTTAACGATTCAATCAGGCTGTTTATCTGGGACTTCTAGCACATGGAAAGCATCCTTAAGAGGGTCCAATCTTGCAGCTCTCACCTAGGAAAAGCTCCCATGAGCTTCAAAGGGTGTTTTAGAAGAACAACTAAAGCATGGATTCTCAGAGTCAAAAAAGGAAGCACTCGGTAGAAATTCCCACCCCTGTGGTGAGACTAGGTTATGTTTGACTAGGAATTTTCTCAGGATCGTTTCTAATAATGATCAATAATGAGAGCTCGGCTTTCCTCCATTTCATTATTTCCTTCCTTCTATGAGTATTATCATGACTAAAGTAATATACAGGATTGTATAAGGAGGATTTTTTTCCACAACTGGAAAGTTAAAGAATTTTTAAGCATGGAGACTCACGCATTACAAGATCTCAGATTACTTATGTTCAGATATCAACAGGGCAATGCTCAACAGCTTTCCTCTTTCTACAGAAAAATAACATCATAACTGAGAAATATTACACACACAGAGTTACACCAAAATGCAATCTGTTCAGTTTCATTTCTGACCCAAAGTGTCTCCCTGCCTATATAACACCAAGGTATATGTCACACTTTATCTAACTAGATGCATTGTAACACTGCTTTGCTGATTGGTTTCGACAGGATGAAATTCAGTGAAGCCCGAGTTAGGTCAAGAAATTTCACTGTCTGCAGTGAGAATTGAAAGTCAAGGTCATTGTCTACACTGCGGTACACTGCTGGGCACCTAAGAATGACAACAGAGTTACACCAGTTGACACCAGCTGGCAACATAGACATTAAAGTCTGTGGTAGGGATTCAGCTTGCCCTGAATTTAAAGGTGAGTTTCAGACACCAATCTGGACATCTAATTTTAGGTATCTATAGTAATCTGTGTCTTTATATGAGCAAGATGTCTGAACTCAATGGAGATGTGAGGTTGTCCAAACAGAGAGGTCAAGAAGCACTTGAAATGCCCTGCAGATCTGCATGGCACTAGCAGATTAGTCACAGGTCCTAAAGGAAACACGCACCATTCTGAGGATAGTGCTGGTAAGAGACTGGTTACACCAGGGCAAGTGACTAGGAAAGGTGGTACACAAACCTTGAAGAGTCACACCAACTTTCTGGCTGGGAATCATGCCCCTGATTCTGTCCCAGTGCAATTAGCTTAAAATGCTGGCACTGACTACAGTGAGAATAGTATGGGGACCTGAAATCTCGGTGATTTTCATGGATCATTAACTCTGAGCTACGCCACCATGCTGCAATGGATCGGGTAACTCCTGTGCTTAGAGACAGTGGGACTTCTGTCAGCCTGCCCTTCATATCCCTGCTGACAACTGAATGTGTTTCATTGTTAGCTCCAGTTCTTTCAAAACAAATGATTTGAACTGAAAGATCTTACCACGGGATTCTCTGCCTGTTGTTGTGCTTTTTATGCACAACTTCTTATCTCTTCTTGATTATACCAGAGGAGGGTTATGAATATTTATGGTTAGAATTTATAATTTAATGCTGTGCCTTTTCTGCTGATTAATTCAAGGACACTTCATTTCTTATAATGCTTGGTTCCTGAAGAAAACACTTTCTGCTGGACACCAATCTGAATCCTGAATATTTATCCACTATCAAAAGTCAAAGACAGATTTCTGTCTTCACATGCAGCTTCACCCAGTCCGCTGCAGCATGTGTAGATTTGCCAAAGTTCCTCAAAAAATGGATCTGAATTCATGCAACAAGCAGCCAAAGTAGTGTAAGGTGTGTTTGTCTTCAACAGCAATGCATAATTCAGTAGTCTCACTGCCACAGCTTCAGATGTTGACAAGAAAGATATTTGATTTTTAAATTTTTTTTTTAATCTGTGAGAGCAGAAGAAGTGAAGGGGCAAATATTCACATACTTCTTCACTCTGGGCTGCAGTGACCTTTCTCCTCTTTCCCTTCATTTCCCTCTTACAATCTGGCTGGCTTGATAACAAATAATAACACATGAAAGAGCAGGAGGCTTCTCTTCCTATAGCTCTCCGTAGCAATCACAAACCAATAAAACTGAGCCAAAAGAGGAAAAACATAACCATTCTTCCAAAAATACCATATGCCTCTAGCTGCAAAGGCCTAGAAAAGAGACCTAAGGATATTCAAATGTATGACATGTTACAGTGCCAAAGATTTGAGATTTAATCACCCTTCTCCTTGTTCTTACAGAGCCCTCTTTCCCGCTGTTTGAAAGACATGTCACAGGAAAGTGCTGACTGCTGTACTTTTTCACAGGCAACCATTTTTCCATGAAGATACAAATGTTATATTTATGAGAAAAGGACACCTTACTTGAGAAAGCTCTATCTCAAATTTCTCTGAGAGCGTTGCGGCTATAATTTCCAATTGCTCAACCTTCTGCACTGGAAAGGTGGTATCAGGCAAGTACACAGAGCACTGACAAATTCCCTCGTCATCCACAGAGCCGGACACATTAGCAAAAAGCTGCAAAAACAAATCAGTAAGGAAAAAAGGGTTAATATTCATCTCTGGAAGCAGTAGGTAATGTCTGACAATAATATCAGCTGTGACAATCATGAGATCAACAACTCAATTACTAGACATCTTTCACCTTTTTCTTCCCAGGAATTCAAATATTTATGACAGCCCTATAAATCTTTCTGAAAATGGTTAAATATTGCTGTAAATATTTTACCATTGGAAAAACAGAGACATAGAATAGTTCTTACTTTCCCAAACTTGTGGACAATGTTCATAAGATAATGAAATAACTTTTCCAGCAGATAGAAAAACACACAACAGCAGGAAAATAATAACTTAGCAAATTCAGTCTTATAGTTGTTGTTCCATGAATCCGAATTGATCCAATCATCCCGTCATTTCCATCCATAGAGATTAAAACACCTAAATAGAACTAGTAACAGGGAAAGTTTTGAAAAGAAAAATGCTTCATTTGAAGTTTCTCAGGCAGCCTCAGCATACAGACATATGCATTTGATTATACAACACTGAAAGGTGACAAATTAAATATGCAGGCTCAGCCTAAGGTAGAGATACTTGTTTTGCTACAAAATATTGCACATAACGCCCACATATCACAGCCCGCTCATTCACTTTTGTGGATAGTTTGCAAAGCTATTGCCCATGCCATTAGAATCAATCAGCTTGTCCTGGCTGCCTGCATGCTCAAACCATCACCACTGGAGCAATGTGTATGGTGTATGGAAAGGTCAGGGCTGGCAATTCATGATCTTGCCATAATTTACGGCCAAAGGACATAAATTTCCTCTAAACATTGGGCTGAATGCAGAATGTGCTTGGAGCAGTTCTTTTTTGTTTGTACACAAAAATGTTTCCCAGTTCATAAACCTATCACAAATTTATTAATAAAGATATTTGATGTTACTTTAAAATATTCTGGCACACACTTCAATTCAGCTGCATATTTTAAAGCTACAGGCTTGCTCTTTAAATACACTTCTTTCCATAATCTCTCCTCCTGCACTGCAGAAATCTCAGTGTTATTCATGTGTTTTCTCTTTGTCTCTTGCTCCCTCTTAAAAATAAACAAGCAAACAACAAAACTATCTACTGAAAGCTGACATTTCAGCACTTCTTCCCTCACTTTTTCACAGTGATTTCAACTAACTTCCTCACCACCAAGCCAGTCCAGAACATGCATTGATGGTCAGTGGAAAAGCTGTCTTTATCTGTGAACCCAAAAACAAAACAGCAGAGAGCAACAAAGATTCCTCTTCATACTTCTGGCAACCTCTTTACCCCAGCCATAACAAACATCATGCACCTCATTTTGAAAAAGAAAAAAAAAAAAAAAGGCACGAGAAGACATTTTATCTGTGTCATTCAAGTGTGATGGGCCTTAAAATTTCACTCATAGCCAGACTGCTGAAGACACTTAATATGAAAGGAAGTAGAGAAGTATCTCACTGCATTCCAGAATGTTCCAGAACATAACTTCCATTGATTTCCCTGCCAGATAGGTTATCAAAGCACTTCTAAATATTCTACAGAGAACATACTGCAAACTACTTCTAAGTCTCCAAGTACTTTCGAAGATACAGCTATCAGCCCCTAAACTACTATGAAAAATAGGTTCCTAAGTCACTTAGATGATTCTGCACCTCTGAGTCCTCTGTGTATGGGCATGACTGGGCTACAAATTTCCACAACAGTAACAAAAGAAACATATGGGGGAAGCGGGGAAAAAAAAACCAAAATAAATAAATGTGGCTTGGTGAGTACATGGGACTTTCTATAAGACAGTTGCACACTGGCATGATAATTTTTGCGTAGAAGGTATTGCATTCTATCCCTTCTGTGTATAACACAAATATTATGTGTATATGTATACTAAAAGAGAGTATACTATACATAGTATACATAGTATGTACTATATGTGTATGTTTCCATATTTAGTATAGTGAAAACTATACATTGTATACTCTGCTATAAACTACAGTCCTGACTATATATAGCTATCAGTTTATCTAAGAAGTACCATTCTAACTCCATATGCTAAATAAACCATTTATAAACATTCAGATGATCTCCAAAAAAACACCAACTTGTGCGTTTAAACTCCCTGTGAAAAACAATCATTATATTTTAACATTTGTGTTAGAGGAGAGCCTTGAGTTGAAGGCAGAGCTTCACTGCAGTAAGTGAAGTTTATATCTAAGCCAAGAGACAGTTTTCCCAAAGGAGCAGACAGCGTAAGCCAAGAGAACTGCTTCCATTCTTCCATTGACATTACAAACATTGGGACCATGATGTTGATGAGACTGAGAAGTATTGTTTGTATTGAAGTATTGTAGTTAAAAGCCCCTTGGGTAAGTGCTTCATTCAAAATATAATACCAGCCAAATAACAACCATACAACAAAAAAGTCTTCCTTCGTCTTGTATAAAAGTGCACAAGATAGGCTGTTACTTCTGATGGAGTTGTATGTTTTTTAAAGTTTAATAATTTACACTGAATACTTAAAAGAGAGCAAACTGTCCTAGCCCACAGCAAGGACTTGACAGCAACATTTCACTCTGTAAAATTAAGCTGTTACATATACATATTTGAAGCTATGAGAAGTGTTCCTTTTCCACATCCCTTCAATTTATGAAAGAGAGTAGGAGCCAGCAGCTACCCAATTTTCTGAAAACCAGGAAATTTATTCAGCTGCCTAAATGTGGATTTAGGATTACATCTTCAAAACAGCCTAGCCATTTCAGTGCTTAATTTCCAGCTACACTGCAACCAAGTGGCATTCACAGCTCTGTACTAGCTACTCAACCTAAAACAAAGAATGGGATCCACAGAAACCACATGGCAGGGACAGAGGCCACAGCAGGAACAGAGGCCACCTCAGCTGGACAAAGAGATGGATGAAGTTTGGGTCCTGCTACTGAGACTGAGAGACCCCTGACACCATTTAACTTTCTAAACCCTCTACTGGAGCCAAGAGACTTAAATCTCTCTCAGAAGAGGTCCATTACACATCCTAGATGTCACACTGGGATAGCCTGGACAACAGGGACCTGCTACCAAGCTGTCTACCATCTCTGACCTGATCTGGAGCTGTGCTTTGCTCGATACTAGGCTGCAGAACCATTCAGTGCAAGTGTGTCCCATTGAATCTGCTCCAAAGCAAACATGTTATTAAGAAGTCACTGACAAAGAGAGGGAAGGAATTCAAACCCTGAAATCCACACACCATGTACTTAAGCACTGCGCCAGAAGGCATGGAAATCAGATTCAAGTCCCTCTATCATCAAATAGTTGAATAAAATTTGAACTAAGTGGAACAGGGATAATCGAGATTTTCTCACCCCCAGCAACCACAAGTGGACACTTCTCACAAAGAAGATAGTTTCAAAGCTCTGTTCTGGTTTACATGAAAAAACAGAGGTAAAAAGAAGTCTTTCCCTTCCTCCAGGGAGGTTATAACCATGAAACTGTTTGGTACATTACCACCAAACCCCCATGGCCCCAGCTGTTTCATGTCTGGCGTCCAGTCACAAGGGTAATGCTGGAGCTTTGGATGTGACTTAAGGCCAATGACATGGCACCAGCGCTGATGATTTGGGGGAATTTATTAGTCTAAAATACTGGATACACAACACCTCAGCGGTTTTCCTGGGCAGCCTAACTGACATACCTGTATCAGGTTTAAGTCTCTGAGTGACTATGTAGCATTTAAAAAATGGGACACAAGTTCCTAATTTTGCTCTTTTCTGGACTTCACTGAAGAACAGTAATGATTATACCTTTGGGGGAGTGTGCAGGTTGCCAGTCATCTTGCTAGGCTGAGTCAGATATGGAAGCGTTGTATTGAGATGAGGGATCTAAAAAGCAAAAGAAAGCCTTTTTCAGTGTGAATTCCTGCATATAGCATTGTCCCTTCCCCACCAGCTAGCCCCCATCCCGCAGCTCTAAAGCACTTTGATTTTATTATGGGAGCCGTGCTCAGCAACAGTGGAATTAATTGGCTTTTCTGATCTGCTGCTGAGATGACTAAGGTTTCCCTGGACACAGTGTCACTTCATAGACACCTCTTCCTGAAGAAAGGCTCTGTGTGACCCATGCAAGGCAGGGGACACAGCCTGCCTGGGAGATGTGATCTGAGGCTCTGACAGGCAGCCCTGGCAGATTGCATGGCTGTCTAAAATGACAGTACCATGCCCCCCTGTCCTAAATCTGGAGACTACTGTCCTCCCAGCAGGAATGTCCACTCCTTGATGCCCAGCTCATGCTCAGCCTCTCAGCACAGGACTCACTGCCCCTTTCATGCCAAGCTGTCATACTATGAGCTGTGATGGCTGCAGCATGTGTCCCACTGTGCTACTATCACAACAGAGGGGACAGCATCCCACCTTGGGGACGAAGCACTGCAGGAAGGCACCACACTACCATGGATATAGCCAGGTCTACCTTGGGAGTCTTTTATGTAGTAAGGCTATATACACCCCCTTTAACTTTGATCTGTGGCTGCACCTGCTTTCCTGCCACAGCAAGGAGAGTGGCTGCCAACCTGGCACGGAATTGTGTGTCCCTAAAGGTCTATTGCATGCCCACACAGTGTGAAGAGCACAGTGCATCACCATGGTCTGCACACTGTCACCCATAGCGAGGTCTCACCAAAATCTGTGGCAAACTGGGAACTCCAGCAAAACACCCTCAATGTCAAATGGTGTGACAGACAGAGCATAAAATGGGCTTCCCCCACAACAGGACACTCACCCCTGGGTCTTTCTGCATTTCCCAAATTCCAGCTAGACCCTCATTCCTGAGCCAGGGAATGGTGGGGAAATCCAAATGGCCAGCAAAGGGCAGAGCGTAAACAAGCTTTTGTGGGACGGTTTGTCAAATAAACCCATTTGAACAAGCATTTGTGTGCTCATATTACACTGAACATGGAGGTGGGGAGCAGCTAGTAGCAATTAACAGTGGTAGGGCAGAGAGCATCACAAAGTGTGTAAATTACATGAACTGGGGACTAGCTTAAAGCTAAGAAGACTGAGGAGAAATGTCTCCCATATTAAGCTTTCTACCCTGAGCTTATCAACATACATTTACACCTCCATCTTGACTTTTGCAACTTTCCATTCCTTGAGCAGATAAAAGCACCTTCCCAGGAGATGCTGACTTCACTGCCTCCATCCACAGCACTCCCAAACCTCAAAAAATATAACTAGAGGCACACAGAATTTTTCTGGCTGGTGACTAAACCAGACAAATCAGAAAGAGACATTGGGAGCTAAATTATTTTTTTTTTCCAAATTTTAACTAAAAAATACCAAAAGGCAGTCACTTTGAGTCAAACCAAAATGTTTCACTCATTTGGAAGAGCTTTTAAGCTATTTGCAAACTTTTAAAATAAAAAAAAAAAAAGTAATGATACTGATAATTTAAGCCCAGTTTTAAATATTTTTTTTTTTTAAAAAAAGAGGCAGTACAAAATCAAAACAGATCTTTCATTAAAGTAATTTTTTACTTTTTTTTTAAAAAAATTTGGATTTGTTGTCGGTTTTGGGAGGTTTTCTTCTGATTGATGGCTTTGATTTGAACTTCTCTCTTGCCCAACCATATAGAGTTTTAAGGCAAGAGGGAGAGCACCCTACCATTCTGGGTGGATCAGAATGATTTCCATGTTCCTTGGTCACAGAGTATGACAGCAATCATCCCCCACCTCCCAACTCCTTCCACATCAAAGATGTGGATCCTTTCCTTCTATAAGCCCTTGCTAATTAATTAGAAGCTACACAGAGCATTTATTATCCACTCAGATCCTCACTGGGAGTTGCACTCATCTAACCAAAGGCAGAATTTGACTCTGATTTTAAACCTGTGCCTCACTTTTACATTTATTACCCAGTCCCTATACATTAGTTGGGAGGAGGATGGAGGAATACTTTAAACTCTTCCCATGCAGAGATCTCAACATCTGCTTAATAATTTTCCAGTAATCTTAAAAGAATTTTCAGCAATCTAAATTATGTGAGAAGCAAGAAGGCACCAAAGCTCAGGTTATGAGACCCCCATCTTACCACTTCTGTTGCTGCCATTGTTCCAGCCAGAGTAATCATGCCTTTCATGAGGAGCAGCACAGCCACCTGTGTGTGCTTCATCTTCTCAGCCAGAAGATGTGATGGCAAAGGGACAAAAGAGGTCTCTTATAGTAGAGACTGGGGATTTCCCCAACCAAACCTGAAGGAACTTGCATGATATTTTTTGAAATTTTCAGATAAGTGATGTCATGAAGTCATATAATAATAGGTGCCAAATTACTAACGTGCAAAGAACATATGAGTTACCATCAGAAATTAACTACATCCAATTTCCTAACAGGAAAGCTTTCCCATATGGTGCAGTATCTAATCTTAATCTTGGTTATGCAGAACATCACGTGCTTATTTACTAGGACGGTAAATAGACATTTCCTCTTACTGTGACTCAATTGCAAAAGTTCTTTTAAGTTATGCAGACAATACAGGTCTGGGTGGTATTTATTGCTTCTTATAGGTACAGAGAAGAGCAGGTTGTGTTAGACATGCACACATGAAACATCCCCCCCTTTTTTCAAAGGCCAACGGACTTTTGGCAATAAGTGAAATGTGAAGGGGTCTCTAAAGCTTTTCAGTCCCCTCAATTCTCACATAGCACAGGTGGGACACAAAGTGTCCTCTCATTTTCTCCCCAGTAGTTTTATGTCTCCTACATTAACACTATGTACCCATTAATCCTTGCTTGTGCTTTAATATTGTGTATCCGTCAATGCTTACTCACTTGCTCTCTTTTCGTAGAGTTGCATACCACCTGACTGCAATGATTCACTGTCCTGTCTCTAGAGTACTGATGCAGAGATCAAAAAAGGCCACAGGCAATGTCTAGTGTGGCCCCCACACTTCCCAGCTGTACCACACTACCATAAGACAGGCAGTGAGCTATCTGCAGTTCCCAAGGCATCCAGCCCACTGTGGGAACTCCCCACTTTAACAAGCTACCACCTTGGTGGAGTCAGTTGCAAGCCTCCACCTGGCACAAGAGAAATTAAAATGTCTCTTCAGAGTTCTGTGAATCACTGGGAAAATGATCTTGATGTTCGGGAGGAAGGTTCCAGTTGAGGCTAAGGGGATGGCCATGTCTGTGCACTTGTAAAAGAAGTCCCTAAACCAAAACATGTCATCTCTTGTCATTTCCTGTGCCTGTATCATCAATGCAGCATTTGCTCTTTCCTTCTTCATTTTGTCAGACTTAGTTGTTCTACTGGGTCAGCAACAAAAGGCTGCATTTGTGTGTGAGTAGAGAAAGTGGTTAGGAGACCCTTATTCCTATCCAACATTGGAGGTCAGAGGTAAGGGCAGGAGAAGCAGCACTTCTGAGCAGCAGTATTGCCTCATATGAAACTCATCTCCCAGGTGAGGAACTCAGAAGACTTTCTTGTGTTACCATAGCACTATCAGCCTCAGGTGGCAAATGGAAAAGCTGAGGCTTAGCACAGATTCATACTAGAACACTCCTCAGAGAAGTCAAGTCCATTGGGGTGACATATTTTCACTACAGCTTCACATCAGCATAAGCCTCCTGACAGATTCACAAGGCTGGCAGCAGCATCTTTTTTGAGGAGTAGCTCATTTTGTAAGGAATGGATATAATATGTTCTTGCAAAAACACTTTTTCACAGCAGAAGCTAAATCTCCACTGGAGGATTTCATGGCTAATAACTCATTGTAAAACAGACAAGATCTGGAAGGCATGTGATAATGTCTAAACAAAAAGAACCAGAGCAATGGTGGTAGAGCGAGAAAACCAGTCTAGGTCTCTTCTTCCCAGGTTATAATAGTCTGCTTTCCTGGGGAAAATCACAGTATTTTCAAGGGAGTGGAGAGACTGAAGATGTAATTAGAGTGTCTTTGTAAGGGCTCAAGCCCTGAGCTCCAGTCCAGGAAGAGCAGACTGGCCCACTCCAGAGCAGAGTTCAGATGCCAACCAGCATATATGTATTGCAGATAACCAGTAAGCCTATGCTGCCCACCAAGTTAACTCCCAGTTTTCTCTCAGGTTGTGGCATCCTGATACTGCCTAATTGCTACTTCCTTCCCTGACTCTTTTTTGGAGTGAACTATCTGATCCTCTCCATACAAAACTGAGGGAAGTCCTGGAAACATATGATTCCCAAAAAGTGGCATTGATGAGGATTTGTTCCTTATCAACTCTGGATGGTCCTAACCAACCTTCCAACAATATCCCACCAGGTCTTCTACTGACAAATTCCTGCCATTAGCCCTCCTAACAGCCCTCCCTTGTTATGGAAATACCACTCTGATGGGCTGCAACCCATACCTTAGATTAATTCTGATGCTTCAACCAAAACAAAGAAACCAAACAAAAACAAAACCACCAGAAAAGCAATGATCCCATCTTAGAGCCAAAGAGCCCAGAAGAGACCCAAAAGGACAAATGCTTCACCATGTGTATACAAGGGAAACCACCAGGCTGCTGTAAAGGAACCAGCTCTGAGCAGGGTGCAGACGAGCCACTTTTCCTGTGGACCAGGCATCATTCCAGGTGTGGATGCATTAGCCTCAAAGGAAAGCCTAACACAGAGAAAAAGGGAAACCAACTGACAGTACAGGTGCATCTGTATGTATGTCAACCCCAGATAAGCATGCCCCATCCATGCAGCAATGCCTTGACAGACTGCAAACTGCCTGAAGGCAGCTTGCTATGGCATGTACAAGCCCACTGGCCTTGCTAGGACACCTGGAGTATTGCTGGCTACGGAGAGGGCAACCTTGCAGCACACATGGCCACACTCACCAGCTGCAGTGCATAGCAAGCAAGTGCAGTTTTGAAGGCAGCTTTGTGCAGTCAGCATAGGCAACCTGTGAGTCTGGCACCTGGATCTCTAATCAGGAGAAAAACCTGTTTTCTGAGCATAACAGTGAGTCTCTGTTCCTTCCAGAGGCTGGTACTGCAAATCACCCACAAAGCACAATAGTTTCTCACCAGTTTTCCTTTTATGCTTAAAAGCCAGTTCCAAGACAGGAAGCAAATATTAGCTAAGTAATGATAGTTAATCAGTTGCTTTGGCAATTTCTCCCACATTTCTGTTTGCACATGACCTCACAGAGATGATGGGGACCTACAATTTTATTCCTAGTCAAAGCATAATTATTACTAAATAAAAATATCTTTTTTGGATCTATGTAGAGCCCTTCATCTGAAAAATAAGTCAGACTCATTGTCTGCATTTTAGAGGAGTGAAACTTAACATGTCATACAGGAAGGTTACACTTATTTAGGAATTTCCACTTAGAAAAACAGCAAAATACAAGGATTTTCTCTTTGTAGAGCTGCACCCACCAGTACTTCCTTGTTGTGCAACGGACCTAGTGGGAAATCCAAGGCAAAGTCCCTGGGGCCCAGACCTTCTCTTTGATTTCAGTGGAAGTTATACATCAAAATGTCTTTGCAAAAAAAGCCCTTTGTCTCTCAGAGGGCCTGTTCAGTGGAGGCCTTCTCAAACACAACCTAACAGGCATTGTGTTTATTACAGCAGAGATTATTGTAATTATTATTCAACAGAGAGACATGTGATTCAGATCATCTGCTCTCTAAAGCTACATGCTCAGTCCAAAATCATTGGCCTCAAATATTACTTGACCATGTTTGGTGGTATGAACATAACCTTCTACAACTCAGTTTCCCATCTACATTTGGAAAATACAGTATTTCCCTGTGTCAAGAGTCATATCTTGAGATTAGAGGCATTAAGAAGAATAAACACTCAATTAGTACAGGAATAGGGAACACATTAAACATGCAAAAATAACAGCAAAAGAAAGGATATAACTTGTCTTAGCTTGGTTGGCTAATGACAGGATGAAGAATTGAATGTAGGTAATGTATCTTGGTTCTATCTATGAAATAATCATCAGCTAATATATTTATTCTAGCTGATTTAACAAATTCAAATTATCTCTGAACTGTTCAGGATATTCCAAGGACAGGATTATGACTTACGCTATCTTAAAACAAAAACAAACCATAAAAAGAGGATTCAAAATGGGGTGTAGTATCTAATCGTGCTAACTTGACAGAATGGTTCTGACAGAAAGTACTGCACTGCACATTACATTTTGCAAGTCTAATATAAAAGCGTTTCTACTCTTTGCCTGCAGACGTGATAAGAAGACTCCAAGGCTCATGGAATCAGCATTCCAGTGCATGTCGTCCAGTACCCCATATACTGTGGATTTAGCAAAGCTCGCCTAAAGCTTGTTAAATCCCCCCTCCCACCAAACTCTGTTATTTCTGAAGTAAAGCCAAAAAGATGGAGAAAATATTAATTCAAATTCATCCTGTGGTACAAGAACTTAACAGTTAACGTTCCTTTTTTTCAAAAGGTGGTTGCAAAATTGTTCTTTCTGAAGCTAACTAGTCTGTGCTGCCTTGGTTAAAGCATCATCCTGTAGTAAAATAAGGAAGTGAGGGTGGACAGCTCTCTTCGGTAAAATGCCGTGTAACAACTGACATAATGAAATCCTAATATTTCACAATATCAACATTCAACATAAGCCTGTTCTACTCTGCTAATCTCTTTACAAATTGCTTGCCCTTTTCCCTCTCCAAGTGATTCACATCCTTATGCAATATATTTTGGTCTCATCTATCATAAAGCCCATCTTTTTGGAAGACATTATGCAAATACTTCATTTAATCCCTTTATCAGTAGAATGTCACGTAAGTGTTTTAAAAACCATCCCTCTGAGCCATGTCCAAAACAAGAACATGTATGAGAAATATTAACACCTAGCTTAAAAAACTGTGTTAGTAAGGGTGAGCCATAGTTTTCTGAGACTAGGAAAGGGGCATCATCCTGCAGCAGAATGAGAAACTGAGTACTATTTACAGAGGACGAAATTTCCTTTACACTTTTAAAAATACCACTGACACAAACTGAGCTGATTGAGCTGCCAAAACTGAAAGAAAAAAAAACCTATCCATAATGTCAGAAAAGAAAGATTTTTACTAATAAAGACATAAGAGGAAGACAGAAGGTGAGGTACATGGCAGGCAGAAAGATGAGAAATGATTGGCCACAGATTCTGTGGCTTGGCAGAAG